AATAGAATAGAATAGAATAGAATAGAATAGAATAGAATAGAATAGAAATAAGAATTAGGAATAGAGAATAGAATAGAGTAGAGTAGAGTAGAGTAGAGTAGAGTAGAATAGAGTAGAATAGAGTAGAGTAGAGTAGAAATGAAATAAGAATTAGGAATAGAATAGAATAGAATAAGAAAAGAAAAGAATAGAATTCTTTATTGGCCAAGTGTGGTCGGACACACAAGGAATTTGTCTTTGGTGCAAATGCTCTCAGTGTACATAAAAGAAAAGAGACATTCGTCAAGAGTCAAGAATCATCAGGTGCAACACTTAATAATAGTCATAGAGAACAATAAGCAATCAAATCATACTAGGAAACAGTCCATATAAATCGTAAGGATTCAAGCAACAAAGTTACAGTCCTACAGTCACAAGTGGGAGGCGATGGGCGATAAGGAGGAGTGAGAAGATTAACAATGATAGTAGTGGACAGTGTTGAGGGAATTATTTCTTTAGCAGAGAGATGGCGTTTCGGGGGGAAAACTGTCATTGTGTCTAGTTCTGGTGTGCAGGGCTCTATAGCGTCGTTTTGAGGATAGGAGGAGTTGAAACAGTTTATGTCCAGGATGTGAGGGGTCTGTAGATATTTTCACAGCCCTCTTTTTGATTCGTGCAGGATACAGGACCTCCATGGAAGGCAGGTTGGTAGCCATTGTTTTTTCTGCCGTCCTAATTCCTCCCTGGAGTCTGTGTCCGTCCTGTTGGGTTGCAGAACCAAACCAGACAGTTGTAGAGGTGCAGATGACAGACTCCATCATTCCTCTCTAGAACTGGATCAGCAGCTCCTTGGGCAGTTTGAGCTTCCTGAGTTGGCGCAGACAGAACATTCTTTGTTGTGCTTTTTTGATGACCTTTTGGATGTGAGGTGTCCATTTTAGGTCTTGTGATAGGATGGAACCTAGATATTTGAAGGCCTCGACTATTGATTCTGTCGATTACCTTGAACCTTTAAGTGGGAATGACCCTTGACTCCCTTCGTTGAGAAAGGTATCGTTCCCTAAAGGTCAAGTGGATTACAGTAAAGCAAAGCCAGAACGGAGCTTCACGTGCCAAATCTCTAGGTATAATTTTTCTCTCCCAGACACTTCCCTGTTCTGACCCAGATCCTGAAACATGACAAACCCTCTGTAGTTGAAGCAATTATTCCTTTATTAGGAGCGCCGGCAGCTCCAGCAAAAAGTTTCTCTTTTACCTCAGGCTAACAAGTCCGTCCGACAGGGAAGCGCATAGTGGTCTGCCACATCTATTCATCTCCACCCCCTGCCTTTTATCCCCAGAGCCTGGGTGGGCCTTCACTAGCAGTGGTGGCTCTTCCATCCCAAGGACTGGCCCATAGATTTCCACTGCTCTCCTCTCCTCTGCCTTCTGCGGATCTGCACGTCAGGCACTCTACCCAGCAAGATTGGCTAAAATGTATAAAAACTTGTCACCGTACCGTTGGAAATGTGCCCAAGAAATGGAACATACTACCTACCATACATGGTGGTCTAGTAAGAAAACTCCGGAGTTTGGGCATCAGATTCAAATGTGGTTAGAGGAGATGACTGGACAGGAAACAGATTATTAACTGGAATTATTTTTACTTGGAATTATGACAGAAAGATATAGTAAAGAGGAGATTTATCTAATAGTACACATTATCACGGCAGCAAGAATGACTTTTGCCCCAAAATGGAAAGATCAGAGAAATTCCCGACGAAGGTGAGGTGATAAAGAAGATATTGATATGTGCTGAAATAGATAGATTGACTCTGGAATTAAAAAAAAATAAGGACGAGACAGAATACTACAAGATATGGAATAAATTTTTATCCATGGTGGGAAAAGAAGGGCCCAGAATTAAAAAAAACAGGATCTGTAGAATGGGTAATTACAGATAGAAACGAATTGTACAAATGTATAAAAAAATATGTATTATATATTATAACATGTATGACAAAAAGGAATGTCAGGACGATCACGCCATGTCCAATGTTTTAACAATTCAATCAATAAAATATTTTTCAGTGCCACTGTAACTTCAGATGGCCACTAAGCGAACTGTTGTAAGCTGAGGATTACCTGTAGAATAAAAATGCAAGGGTTTGCAATTCAGCCAAGCTGGAAGTAGGAGGAGGTGATCCACGAAATAACCCTTTGTTCTGCTTTTGATTCCGCTGACCTTAATTCCTAGAATTTCCTCCCACAACCAGTTGTTGTCTTGGTCCCCTTGCGCTGCGCACACCGAGGCTGTTTCTCAAAAAAAAACACCTCCCGATTGTTCTGTCCTGATGCGCTCCGATAATTTGTGCCCAATGCCAGCACAGCTAGATTAAACTGGATTAATCGGAATGTACTTCACAATACTCCCAACGTATTCAGGAGAATTCTCCTATTATTTTTAATTTGCCCTTTTTTGGTAAAAATCCATTCTGGTCTGGTGAATATAAAGTCATTTTAATCTTCCTGCAATTAATGAAGCCTATATCTTACCGTCTGCATTTAGTAGCAATATTGGTCTCTAGATATATTTTTTTTAATTTGTGTACTATCTGATTCTTCTTTTTGATATTCAAGTTATATTTGCTTCCCTCCATGTATTTGGTATTTTGGCCTCCCACAATACTTCATGGTAAGCTTTTGGTTTGTTTGGGGATCGTCATGTGTGTGTATGCATGTTGGGTCTGGTCTGGGGGTTACGTGAATTTCGTTGTAGGCATACTGTGTATATACGTACAATGACAATAAAGAATTCAAAATAAAATTCAAATTAAAAAAAAAATCATTGTAAACTTCCAACATTGAAATACCTAAACCAGGGGGGGTCTTCAAACCTGACAGCTTTAAGACTTGTGGACTTCAACTCCCAGAATTCCTCCTTCAGTTATGTTAGCTCAGGAATTCTGGGAGTTGAAATCCACAAGTCTTAAACTTGCCAAGAGCCTTGCTCTATACCTTCAGACAAATGGCTGTCCACTCCAGCTTCTTCTTAAAAAATCTCCAGTGATGGACCACCAACAATTTGTAGAGGGAAGCTGTTCCACCGGTTAATTGTTCTCACTGTTGGTAAGTTTCTCCTTAATTCCAGGTTGGCTTCTCCCCTTGATGAGTTTCCATCCGTTGCTTCTTGTCCTGCCTTCAGGGGATTTGGAGAACAGATTGACCTCCCTCTTCTTTGGGGCAGCCCCTCAAATACTGGAGGGCTGCTATCATGTCATCCCTAGTCCTTCTTTTCTTTAGATTGGCCATACCCAAGTTTTTGGGTATACCCAAGTTTTTGTCTCCAGGCCTTTAATCGTCTTCGTTGCTCTTCTTTGCATTTTTTCCAAAATGTCAGCATCTTTTTTTTTTTTTTTTTTTTTGTCTAATGCAGTGACCAAAACTGGGTGCCAGATTCAGTGGTGGGATTCAAAAAATTTTTTACTACTGATTCTGTGGGCGTGGCAGGGGAAGGATACTGTAAAATCTCCAGTCAGAGGTGGTATTTGCCAGTTCTCCAGACTAGTCAAAATTTCCACTACCGGTTCTCCAGAACTGCTCAGAACCTGCTGAATACCACCTCTGGCCGGATTTCAGGTGTGGCCTTACTAAGGCCTTGTAAAGCGATACTAACACTTTTATTGAATTCTGGGCGTGGTAGTCCACAAGTCTTGAAATTGCCAAGGTTGGACACTCCTGTTCTAAAACATGGCACGGTAATACTTGACCTAAAGCAGTGGTGGCCAGGGGTGGGATTCTACCAGTTCGCACCTATTCGCTAGAACCAGTTGTTATTCTAAGCAGTTCGGAGAAGAAATTAGAAGAAATTACAGGGCTAATCCTGTAAGGAAGGCAGGAAGGAAACATTCTGGTGTTGCTTACAGAAACTGCCTCTCCGTTAACCCTTATTACATTCTTGGCAGGACTAGACTTCCTGTCTTAGGAACTTCTCTGGAGTTTTTTCCCCCTCCTTTGCTGGTACTTTGCTTGTGTGGAGTGACCATTCAAAGTTACAATGGCACTGACAAAAGTGACTTATGACCGTTTTTCACACTTACGACTGTTGCAGCATCCACACAGTCATGAGAGGCCAGGCGAGGAGATGCGTGCCTCGATGTGAGTGGTATTGAGTTGGCCACACCCAGCCAATAACATGACCACCAAACCACGTCCACTCAGTCACATGACCACCAAGCCACGCCCACCAACTAAGCCACGCCCACAGAACCAGTTGTTGAAAATTTGAATCCCACCCCTGGTGGTGGCTAACCTTTTTCGGCTCCCGTGCCGATAATTGCGCGCACTCCTGTGCCAGCACCCAGAAGGCAATGCATGCTGGGGGGGGGCCCCCATGTCCCCTGTGTATGCGTGTGCGATGCCCCCCTTGCACTCCGCACATCTGCGCATGTGCGCGAGATCCCCTCATGCAGCATGCGGCTCTGCGCATATGTGAGCATCTCCCATACACACACACCCTGCGCCTGCGCACCAGATACCCGACAGTCAGCTTTCAGGCGGCGGTGCGCATGCGCAGTGGGGCTCTTCCGGACGACCTCTCGCATGTCGGGGGGAAAAGGCTCTGCGTGCCACTTCCGGCACACGTGGCATAGGTTCGCCAACACGGGCCTAACATATCTTGTCGTCCTCGATAGAGTTCTGCCCAGTTCTCCTGGATTAATCCACGGACCATCCTCCCATAGTTCTCCCAAGAAAGACTTTGGATCAACACGCGGCTTCCAAAAGCTTGACGGCGGGTTAAAGAACAGTTGGGAAATCATTCGCAGACTTCCCTCCCCTGGCTCAAAGTACCACGGCCCTCCTCATCCTCGCACTGCTAACACCTTCCTCCTAAGTTGTTGGTTGTTGTTGTTTTTTTCCACCCCCCTGCTTTCAGGAAGAAGCAGTAACCGCTTCAGCAAATTCTGTTTTTCAGAAATTTGTTTCTGAAAGTTATGAAATAAGGCCGGACGTGTCTGACCTGCAAGCTCAGCTTGGATCAGAAGCCATGAAACTGACCAGTTGTTACGCAGGGGCATCTCTGTAGGGAGGAGAGATTGATCAGAAAATTAAGGATTTATACTTGGGGGGGGAGGGAGGTTCTCGATTTACGACCATTGGGTTGAAGTTACAGCGCCACTAGGGGCAAAAAAGGGACTTAACGATGGTTTTTCGCACTTACGACCATTGCGGCATCCCCCCCTGTTCACGGGATGAAAGCTCGGACGCTTGGCAACGGACTCAGATTGATGATGGGTTGCGGTGTCCTCGGAACTCACGTGATCTCCCTCTTTGGTGACCTTCTGATCTGCAGAAGTCAATGGGGGAAGCCAAATTCATTTAATGACCGTGTGATTAACTTAACAGCTGCAGTGATTCATTTGACCACTGTAGCAAGAAACGTCTTAAAACAAGGCAAAACTCGCTTAGCATCCATGTTACGCACCTAAGAATTACAATGATTCACTCAACTGGTCTGTTCTTTTCTCTTTTCTTCTAATTCTATTCTATTAATACTCATTTCATCTATTTGTTCTGTTATATTCTGTTCTAATTATATTCTAATTCTTATTTCACTCTAACTCTA